GAATGGAAAAAAAGAATAGAAGAGAGAGACAACAATAACGTACTTTAAGCCAAAAAATTGTTTGACGATAGCTATACAAAGTCATTGAAGGTCAAAATTGAGAGGAAGCCACAACGCGATGGCTGAGTGCCCTGGTGAGAGATAGCTCCCACCTTCCCTTCTGCCGGCAACCTCCCTGGCGCCGGCGTCCACCCCAAGCCTCCTGCCACCCCCTCCTCTGATGGCCTCCTCGCCTAGCGCCCTCCAGATCTGCCCCCACGCCTGCTGAGGGTGATGAGGTGGAGCTCAAGGACTAGGGAGACAGCGATGGCATCGACGATATCGAAGCTGCCTCCCCAACCACCTCTAACGCCTTGGACGGGGCGGAACTGGCGGATCCGGGGGCGGGGTGCGCTGCGCCCCCATCCAGTGCGTCTCCGGCTCCACTTGCTTGCAAATCCGGCGGATCCCCTGTTGTGGCCTCCGGCAAATCCCCTGCTGCGGCCGCCATCATGTCCTCGATCCGCCCACCCCCTGCTCCAGTGCTTGGCACCCCTGTCCATGGAGATGCCGAGGCGCCGGCCAGGCTTAAATCTGTCCTGGTCCGGCCTGCTACGCCCTCTTCACCTGGGATGCTGGTGTGGCAGCCGATGGATCAACACAGGCCTTCCACCGCGGGATCCCTGGGCTGCATGGCGCCTCGCCCCGCTCCGCCGACCACCCCGGCTGGGAAGAGTCTTTACTCTGGCTCTGGCTCACGTTGGGAGCCGGGACAACCATCTAGAGTGAAGGAGATGCAGAGCGACCTTCTTTCACCAGAATGGCAAAGAGCGAAGACTGGGCGCCGTCAAAGGACAGAGACCACGCCGCTTCGGGACGCCTCTATTCCCATGCAGAAGCCCAAGCGCGCGTCGGGAGCTCTGCCAGCAAGGCCTTCATTAAGCGCCTAGTCGGACGCTGCTTCCGATGCCTGGCCCTCGACCATTAGGTTGCTGAGTGCCGGCATCCCGTTCATTACCTCGCGTGCAAGGGTGTTGGACACATCTTGCGCTCTTGGCCTCCTGCCCTTCTCGTTGTCCGCGCACCATCTCCTCCGAGCTCCACGCCCGGCTAAGGTTCCCCGAGAGAGCGTCCGCAGCCACATCTCGTTCGCCCCTCTTCACCACCACAACACCGCCGGCGCCACCACCAATCCTAGGATGGAGTTTGCCCCTCGACACGCCCTCCAGCACCCCGGGCCATGTCTCCTTCGTCACTACTGAGGCCATGACTCATGAGGCAAACCGACTGCAAGCCCATGCCGTGCTCATTTCCTCGTTGGCGACGGGTTACCGCTCCAATGCACTAGAGGTCTACTACGCTTTGGTTGGACAGTTGTATGTGACGCGGCACAACATCACGGTCACCAAGCACAGTCCGAACCTTTTCCTTCTGGAGTTCAAGCTACCCCCGGAGAAGGATCACGCCATCTGCAAGGGGTCCATCGACATTGGGGGCTCCAACTTCCCGATCAATCCTTGGCGCTCGGCTAGGGGCGGGTCTGAGCACACATGGTGGTACCACGTCAAGGTGACCATGGAGAACGTCCCCTTGGAGGCCTGGAACGCGGATAGTGTGCGGCTCATCCTCGGCAACGCTTGTATCCTAGACAGGTTGGATAGCCGGACCCTGGCGCGAGACTCTACTGATTTCCTCACCTTCTAGGTGTTGGAGCCGACGGTGGCCGTCGAGCTCCTGCTGCTGCTGGAACGCCGGTGATCGCCTGAGCACGGTCACCAGACACACTCACAACTCGCACGATGAACTGGAACTGAACACAAGTATTTCGCTGCACAACCGACGCAGCCTTTTCATTTTTTCCATTGCTTATGTACAATGCAGATACATGGGCCAGAGCCCGTCCCCCGCCACCACACGATCGCTGCTCGATCCGGCTTTTGGGCCACGCCGAGCGACATGCACGACGACCATGCAGTGGCGGTGACCACGCACCCGACTTGCGCGGCCACGCCCCGGACTGGGCACATCTCCGTCCAGGCTCGTGGTTCTACGCGCTAACTAAGCCAAATATGCAGTGCTTACAACTGGATTACATGAATGAAAATAGAAAGTGAAATGTAAACATGCTAATTCTAACACTAGGCGCCAACGATCGTCTCCTTCGACTGGGCGCCGGGTGTCCTCGACGGTTGGCCTACACCGGGCTGGCAGGCGCCTCCCTCTGGATGCCACGCTCCGCCCACACCCATGCCGCACAGGGACCATGACCTAGACGATGACTTGTAGCTAGGATCCGCGGCACCGCAACGGCGCTGCTCCAAAGAGCTCCATGGTTCGCCAACTCTTCCCCGCATGCACCTCCGAACGTGCGGTACGCGTTCGCACGCGCTCTCCGCCTTCCTACCACCAGGCGCTTCTTGGCGACCACAATTCACAAAGCCATAGACCGTGGGCGTGACCTAAGTCGCTCACCCGTGAGGACCGGACGCAGGAGGGACTACATCCCCCATGCCTCAGAAGACTAGGAGCGCCGCCGCTCACGCTCTCTAGTCCGTCGGGATGGGCTCTGGACAGCGGACCTACAGCCGCGTGCCCAGCCGGTGAGCCCCCTTTGGTTGACCTGTGTAGGGAAGTGGATGTGCCGGTGTCTCAGGGCACACTTGAGTCCATCAGGGAGGACCCAATAATGGTCCAAGAATCCAACTTCGCCCTAAGGACCAGCGGTGCCTATGCTACCGGATGACAACGACGGCGCGCTCTGCCCGCCAACCTGCAGGCCAGTCTGCACGCTCTGGGCTGGTGAGAGCTCACGGTGCCGCCTCGAGACCCAGCCCAGCACCTACCAGCCCGAGGTGCCCTTTGGGCCACCCATGGACAACCTGTCCGACTTGGTCCACAAGATGGACATCGACACCGTACCGACTCACACAACGTCACCAAGCAGCCGGGCGGCGGGCGCAACCTCTGCCTCAGATGTTGATGATCCTGACGGCTTGCAGGGAGATGGTGAGGATGCTGTAGGCGAGCTGGAAGGTGATAATGGAGGCTCCACCTTTTCGCAGTGGCCTCTTCAGGTGCATCCCGGCCCCTATCCTCCCGGCCGCAACCTGCCTCGCTACCCTGTGGGCACAGGAAAGCTTCCTACCAGGGGACAAGCACAAGCCGGCGGTCTCCACCAGATCCAGCACTCGCCTGGCGTCCAAGCCCTCTTCTGTTCCGGTCGCACGGCGCGCCCAGCAGAAGCTCATGAGGGAGCTAGACTTCATCAACGTCTATACCCCTGCACCTGATGTTGTGCTGTCAAAGCTTATCTGGACCTGTATGCACAAGATCCTTCAGAAGAGGCAGTCAAGGCGATCAGGGCGGCGACCAGACTGGGGAAGAAGAAACATTCCAAAGCCCTGGCAGCGGTGGCGGCAGACACTGGAGTTGCAGAAACGGAGGTCCCATGAGTATGCAACGACAGATGCTGAGGAGAGGCACATCTTCTCGACCGATGTACCCCCTTGTAGTGTTGTTTGTGGCTGATCTTATGCCAGCCAACTTAGCTGTTTCCCCTTGTCATGTTTGTTCCTGGAAGTGGTGGTGTCTGTTCTGGTTGAAGCCCCTGAGTGGTTCCTTGGCTTGGGCCTCCTCCATATGATGTATTGTGGAAGAAGTTCTGTGGTTCGTTTTCAGTCTAACTGAAGGTTGCTACTTAGCTGTTTACGCCCTGCTGCTTCCGTTGCTCTGGGACTTGAAGCTTTTGTGCTGGAACTGTGCTGCAAGAAGAGAGACAGTGGACAGCTTCATGGCAGCGGAGTTCCTGGGTAGGTTGTACACGGTTTTTGAATACCTGGCTGCAAATGGCACAACGGGAGGCATCCTGGTGGCTTGGGACGGTGACCTGATTGACATGGCAACACAGGTTGTCAACTGCCAAACCGCTACATGTGGGCTGTGCGTGGGGGTTTTCACATCGGTGGCTACCTTTTTTTGGCGAGTTAGAAGATGAAGGTAGACTGTGTTGCTGTTTGGGAGCCGGTTGGTGTGGCTCATTGTTGTACTCCTAGATTATGAGTAGTCCTTTCAGGGCCTGGTTTGTTTTTCTCTCCTAAATTTTAGTCTATATCACATCGGATATTTAGACAAAAATATAAATTATTAAATATAGATTAAAAAATAATTAATTATACAGATTGTGACTAATTTGCGATTTGAATGTTTTAATCCTAATTAGTTCATGATTTGACAATGTGGTGCTATAGTAACACATGTGCTAATGACGGATTAATTAGGCTTAATAAATTCGTCTCGTGGATTACTGAGAACTTGTGTAATTTGTTTTATTATTACTATCCGAACACTACCACGTGACACCGCCACGTGACACCCGATATGACACCCCTAAACTTTAGCCATGGATTTAAACCAGGCCCAGTATCCTCGCTTAGCTCGGTGGTCTGCCAAATCTAGTGAACTGTTTGTGCCAGCTGGCGCATGTAATTCCATCTTCTCCTTATTAATATATTCCAGCTATGTTCTGGATCTTAAAAAAAAAGATAGCTATGCTATATAAAGTTTATGCCAATGGATGTGGTGGACACATGGAGCGAGAAATATTCAATTAATAAACAAATAAAAAGAACTGCAAAGTATTTTAAAGAACATTTGCGTGGGTCACCTTGCTACTTAAAGGAACATGATGAAAGTATCTCAAAAGCAGTGTACCAAAGATCTCTAGGCATTGTGAATTTGTTGTCTTTGCAGTCGCGTATGATCTGAGGCCATTTGGGCAGGACAGTTGCGATTGTCATGCTGGACTGAGTGGTGCCGGAGTCTGTGCTGCTGCTACCTCCCGTCACAACGGAAGATGTATAGTAGAAACCATTAAGTGGAGGCTCATAGGTTGCCACCGGCATCCTCGCCGGCAGATTGGGCAGTGGCACCTCAGACCGCAGCACGCTGACGGCCTGCCTGATGGACGGTCGGAGGCTCCGGTCAGGGTGTGCGCACCAGAGTCCGACGACCATCACGGTCGTCTACATCTCACGAGCGTCGAATTCGCCCTTCAGCCGTCCGTCTGCGGCGTCAAGGATGGCTCCTCTGCCGTGCCATTCCCACACCCACTGCACGATGTGGATCACGTCTTCTTCCTCGTGGCGACGCACCAGGGGCCGTTGGCCGCAAGCGATCTCTAGGAGGACGACGCCGAAGCTGTAGACGTCCGACTCGGCGTTGGCCCTGCCGTTGAGAAATTTTTTTAATTTTAACCCTTTTTTTTAATATAATTTTAAATCTAACACTGTCGGTTTTTTTAAAACTAACACTTTTGGCCGCGCCTATTGTCCTGGCGTGGCCAAATGCCTGTGCCGCGCCATGCATGGCGGCGCGGCAGAGGCCTGACGTGGCGGCGACCATCACTGCTGACCGCTGACGTGGAAAGGCTCTGCCGCGCCACCGATCTTGGCGCGGCAGTGCCGCGCCCTGATCCGTGGCGCGGCAGAGCCGGATATAACCACCGCCACCAGTCCCGCTGCCCGAGCAGCAAGGCCGCGTAGGCGTCGCTCCCGCGCCCGCCCATCGCCACCGCGGCCGCCCGTCGCCAACCACGCCGGCCGCCGCGCCACGAACGGCGGCAGCCCCAACCGTCGGCCCTCCATTGCCGCCTCCCTCCCTTCCCTTCCATTCTCCGGCCGCCTCCATCCCTCCTCGTTCTCGTTTAAGGTTCTTACGCACATTTTATTTTTGTTTGAACGGTGGATATGATATTATGAATGGAGTTAAGGTTAGCAGAAAAATTATGTTTGGGAACTATGGTGAAGATATAAGTTTGAGTTTGTCAATGTTAATGTTAATTATTTAGTTACAAGTATATTTGTCATGTATTTTTTTGTTGGTATAATTGTTGTTTATAATATTTTAGTTCCATTGCAAATGATTACATTTTTCATTAATTTGCATTGTTTTGATTGATGTTTAATTTGAACCGTTTTATTAGATGGAAGACATATTTCGGGAGCAGTTATGACGAAAACGGGGCCGTCCTAGAGAAATGTACCCAGACGAGTCTAGCAAAGATGCCCCCGTCCCTCCTGAACTCCTTGTCCATAATTGTGACTGTGGTCGTCCGGCCGACGTGTTTCAATCGAGACATCCCGACACAGCGGCTCGTTGCTTCTACACGTGCAGTTGTTTTAATGTAAGTAATTGTTTCTACTATCTTTTTCTTCTTCATTTGTATTACTAGATTACTAATATTTTGTTGATTTTTTGTTTTGTAGGACTATGAGAGGTGTTTTTTCTTTCAGTGGATCGACGGTGCAGGCAAGTTTGATCCTAGGTACCTCCTTTTTGACGATTGGTTTAGAGGGAGAAATCCCTGTGAGCGCTTCAAGCGGTGGGTTCCACCCCCCTAGCCCTCCACCAATGACGGCTAAGGAGAAGCACCTAGCCGCAGTTAGACGACTCGAGGAACCTCCTTGGTGCGATTGCGGAGATCGAGCTGTGGTAAACCCTGACAATACATTGGAGTTTGTGTGTCCAAACAAGCATGAAGTAAGTGTAAAGTGTATGTGTTGAAATCTTTAGCTATATGTGTTCATATACTAATGTCACGTTATTTAGGTGCATTCAATGCCAAAGTGTCGTTTCAAGGAGTGGTTGTATGGTCCTAATAACAAATGACCCGAAGAACCTCCAAAAGCAAAACAAAAGAAGAAAAAAAGGTTAATTTACAAAGCACCACCAGTCAAGTGCGAATGCGGTGTTAATTCAAACTATGGCCTAGTCCCTTCGGAGCTTGGAATATGCCATTATTGCGGCCATATGGTTGAGTACGAAGAGGTTCGTTATTTTTGTGGTAAACATGAAATCACATTTTGTTTCTTGTGATAAGATATATATGATATAATATTTCTTTTGAACAGAGCACTAGAAAATGCAAGTGGGAACGTTACGATGGTCAAGCTTAGTTCTTGGATGAACTGAAGAAGAGGCAACTAATTGCACGGAAGAGAGGATATGGACCTAACTACGTCAACCTATTCGTTAAACATCACAAAGAAAAGATGCGTGAGTTTGCTAGACACCGCGGTATTTGTAACCCGATCGATGTTGGGCTTAACAAATGGGGATTGAAGAGGCGGATGACGTTAGAGGAGGAGAGGGCAAGGAAGGAGGCAAGGGAGGAGACAAGAGTACAGATGCAGGTCTTGAACGAGAATGTTGCTGCATTATGTGCCAGTGAGTGCTTGAACGCCTTTTTTTCGTTGCCTGATTTTAAATGTAATATAATCGTGTTGCTAACTGATTACATTTTATACATGAAGGGATTGGTTGCAGCGAGGATCATGCCGCAGAGGTGGCTCGTGCAAGGTATGAGGAAAAGAAGTTAGATGAGCATGGATTGCGAGCTGGTCGTACCGTTCAATCACCGATTGTGTTGTCTGATGAGGGGGACGGGGATGAGGACGACACTGGCAGACTGAGTGAGCTCATTGCTCTAGCAAAGGCGGGCATGCAGGCGAAGGATGATGACGACGACACTGGTAGACTGAGCGAGCTCATCGCCCTAGCAGAGACGGGCATGCAAGCGAAGGAGGATGAGGACGACACTGGCAGACTGAGCGAGCTCATCGCTCTAGCAGAGGTGGGCTTATAGACTGAGGAGGATGACAACGCGTTCTTCACTCAGGCCGCAGTGGCTGTAGATGAAGCGGAGGCCGCTTACTACAAGCGACAGGCAGGTCAGAGCAACGCAGGTGAGCCTAGCAACAGCAACAGGTTTGTGGTTGAGGATTGGTACTCGGACAACGAGTTGCTTACTTAGTATGTTTCTGATTGAGGGTTTTTGATTGTGCCGTCTGTTAGTTCCATGCTTTATTAATGATCAATGTAGCTATGTACTACAAATTCTATTGTGTTGTCTTATATTCCTTTTGAACTACTGATGTATTGTACCCATGTATCATGTACTCGGATTACCCATGATCGATCTTAAGTGATCACATCTTTTTGTTTCATGCGTTCAAAATTTCTAAAACGAACATAATTATTTGCCGCGCCATAGACCAGGTTTTGGTGCTACATAGGCATGGTTCTGCGTCTATGACGCGCCATAGTTCATGGCACGTCTGTGCCGCGCCATAGTACATGGTGCGTCAGTGCTGCACCAGATCCCACGGCGCGGCAGTGACGCAGCCAGACCACAGCTTCAAAACAATTGAGTTGTTGTCGGTGCTGTATAAAACTACAAGTGCGGTACCAAACGAACATGACGCAAATAAATGGACGACAAGTTGCAATACAATATTTTCATTGTTTATGAGTCTACAAGTTTTCGACGAGAATATTCGTACGACATAAGTTCGACGTAATGAACTAAGTCCCATGACGTAATGAAACCTCGTCGTCCGGTAGAAGAAGGGGGTCGTCGTACTCCACATCAAGAAGGGGGATCAGCTGGTGTGGCGTGGGAGGGGCCATCCTGTTACAAAATGATAAACAAAGGGTTAGAGTATTCAAATTAACAATTTTCAGATTAACATTATGTAGCATTGCAAAATTTGAACTACATGTTATGCAATACGAAAACAATATGAAATCACCTGCTGTCTTCTATGCCGGCTAGCCTTGTGGCCAGATTGTTTGCAAACGGAGCAAAGATTCCTGCCACGGGTCTCGTTGAAGTCTCCCCCGCCGTACATGTCTTCCTCGTACCCTCTCATAGCGTCCATGTCCCCCTTCAGTCGCTTCTTCTTCCTTCTACCCTTCCCTACCTTCATTTGATCCGGATGTGGCACATAGTCATAACCATTATAAGGTGGCCACTGTGTTGGGGTCTAGGTATGGCTCGAAGCTCATCTCCCAAATACTAACGGTGTTCGAACGGAGATACAAGGGTGACATATATGGTAGATCCTCATAGTTGTAACCGCGAACCCTGCAGGCCGTGATCATATGAGAGCAAGGGGCATGCATGATCTCGGCCTCCTTCAAATGTTCAGCTCCGGCCTTTCCAAAACGCCCCTACTCAGCTATATTCCTCTGTGCAAGTTCCCACCTCTTCACAAAATATTCGTTGCACTTATGAAAGGAGAACTCAACAATTCCAAACACAGGCAACGATCGAACTCCGCTGAATACACGGTTGAAGGACTCCGAGGAGTTAGTAGTCATGATGCCATACCTGAAACCCCCTCGTCATATGCTAACGCCCACTGAGCCTTCTGTTCCATCTGCGCCTCTAACCAGGCCTTTCCCGCTACATTTACCATCTTGTCTAGTTCTCTCTTTGTCTCCTTGAACTCGTGCTCTGTACGTACACAACATAGAGCCTTTACTTTATCACTTACCTCCTTCTTCCGCTGAAGCCGCCAGAATTTTGCGGCAAAGTGTCTCATGCACCATCTATGTACTAGAGGCGGGAACCCATTTATATGCTCAGCTGCAGCATTAAGAAGCCCTGTGTGACGGTCGGAGATCAAACATATAGTGAGAGTTGAGCCAAGCACTTACACACGTAGAAGACGCATGAACCATGACCACGATTCATTGTTCTCTCCCTCTGCCAAAGCAAAAGCCACGGGTACTATCTGGTCCTCAGGATCAACAACAGCAGCCATCATTACGGTGCCCCTATACTTTCTTGTCAGGAAAGTGCCATCAACAAGTACGACTGCCCCACAAAACTAGAATGCATGTTCTGTTTGCACGAACGACCAGAACACACGATAGAGGACATGCCTCAATGGGTCCCAAAAATACATCCCTCCGGTGTCCACAAACCATTTCAAGCCAGGGTTGTAATAATGCATTGCACATAAGATGCGGGGAACCATGTTATACGCTTCCTCCCAAGTACCCCATCGAATCGCGAGACCGATTTGCTTAGCACGCCAAGTCTTTCCATACGACACATCGTACCTAACTAATCTAGATATGGACTGTTGTAAAGAAGACATCGAGATGTTGTTATTGTCATCAATGAGCCCCAATATACAACGGGCAAGGTAACGTGAAGTGAGCTGATGATGATTTTCCTTCCCCCTATTGTCTAGGCAAGTGTGGGGTTCAACAACTTTAGTTATCCTTCACTTGCCATCACTCTATCTCCTTCGTGCATTTAACCTCTACAGACAACCGTTTTTGCATATCAAGTGATACCTCAACTCCTGGTCTGAATGAGTGACGGTGTATGGTCTATGGTGGTACACAGCATAGTCCTGAAGGAAGAGTTTCATATCTGACATTGTGTTGAATATCATCCCCTTCCTAAGGGGTTCTTTCTCATGGTTATACAATGAATTCCTACACAGCTGGAGACCGGTATCACAAACTGCCATATCTATCATGCTAACATCCCTATAGTTCGGAACGCCCCTGAAAGGTACGTTCTTAGACCTTAGTTGCTCAAGCTCAGTCGCTGTGTAAGGTGGTGGTGGAACATACTGCTGCGCTTCGCTAATTCTGGCCCATGAATCATAGGGGTTCTCATCTGCAGCCAAATCTGTGACTAGTCTACCCTGAACATGGGCACCATGCAAAACCTCAGTTGGTACTGATAATGGCATAGTATGAACCGGTACTGGCATGGCATCAACCAGTGTTGCCACATCATCTGTACCTCCTTGGTCATCATCAGAATCGTCTGAATCACTACTAACTACATCACCGATCCTGTCCTCCTCCTCCTGCTCCTCCTCTTCCCGTTCAAACTCATTCACATCGAAGTCATTGCTTATACAGCCTACTGCAGTTGAATGAAACTGCTTCTGCGTCAACTGACCGTCCAAATCTATGTTTTTCTGAGTTGCTTCCCCTTCAACACCTAATTCTTGTTCATTGCCTCCAAAACCATCATTGGACGGGCCGTCCTGCACACCATGCATCTTGTACCCATTCTCCACGACCACTTCAGCCATGGGCACATTAGAACCTTGGAGAACCCTAGTGTAGCGGGACGAGTGAGCAGGGTCGCGCAAGGGCATGAGGACATAGTGTGCCCTAGTCTTCCTAGTATTAAACCTCCTCTTCAGTGTGAAATCACCCCAAACTTTGTATTCAAACGGACACAAATGTCGTTGAAGCTAGGAGGCTCTTCAAACCATTCCAATTCTTCTTCCATATCCTCAAATATACCATCTTCTCTCCTAACACTTCCTCCGAACAAAACTCTAACACAACAATCCATCTACAAAAGCATTTCAAGAAACTTCATCAAGTCATCGAAATCATCATACGTAATGTCCATACTAACATTATTACATTTTCTAACTATAACTATACTAACTAATCAAATACTAAATCCAATGTACAACTAGAGTAAATAACTGTACTAACTAAACTACCTTACTTTACTACCTATACTAACTAATTATATTACGTATACTATCTAAACTAACTAACTTTACTAACTATACTAACTATACTTTGATAATTTTACTAACTTTATTAACTGTGCTAACTATATTAGTGGAGTACCTCGCTGCAGCGCGCAAGACCGGGCCGAGAGGCGCGGGCGCAGGCCTAGGCGGGCAGCCGCCCTGCGTGACCGGAGGTTTTGGCCGGAGGGGGAGGCGCGCCTGCGTGCGGGCGCGGTGGCTGCACCGGGCGGCCGGCGGCCTGGCTGCCTGGCTGGCGCGGCTCGCTTACTGCCTGGCCGAACGCGGCTGGCTTGCTGGCATGGGCGGGCTGGCTGGCGTGGGCGGACGCGGCCACGGCGGACGACGTCCTCGGCGCCGGGCAGGCGCGGGCGAAGGCGGGCGCGGCGGCACTGCCTTGCTGCGTTTCTCGCGGAACGTCGACTGCTCGGGCAAGAGGCCGCGGCGGTGGTTATATCCGGCTCTGCCGCGCCACGGATCAGGGCGCGGCACTGCCACGCCAAGATCGGTAGCGCGACAGAGCCTTTCCACGTCAGCGGTCAGCGGTGATGGTCGCCGCCACGTCAGGCCTCTGCCGTGCCGCCATGCATGGCGCGGCACAGGCATTTGGCCGCGCCAGGGCAATAAGCGCGGCCAAAAGTGTTAGTTTAAAAAAAACCGATAGTGTTAGATTTAAAATTATATTCAAAAAAGGGTTAAAATTAAAAAAAATTTGCGTTTGATCATGCACTACTCCGGGTCCATGTACCCCATGGTTCCAGCGAGCACGGTGGTGTGCGAGCCCCGGCCGTGGTCGACCAGCCTGGCGAACCCGAAGTCACTGAGCTTGGCATGGAAGGACGCGTCCAGCATCACGTTGCTGGGCTTGATGTCCCTGTGCACCACGCATTGCTCCCACTCCTTGTGCAGGTACAGAAGCGCCGACCCGAGTCCCAGCACGATCTTGTGCCGGACCGGCCATGGCAGCAGCTCATTGTTGTTGGTACTGTAGAGATGCTTGTTAGGCTCTTGGCTTAAGAGATATAATTCAGATAAGGAGAAGCTTTGGAAAGAGCTTATAGATTTTAAATATAATACTCAGAAACCAAATATTTTCCAGTCTAGGTCAAGTGGGGCTTCCAACTTCTCTAAGGGTTTTACGTGGGCTGCACAAGCTGCGAAAATGGATTATAGATGGAAGGTAGGTAATGGTAGGAAACTTAGACTTTGGGAAGACAATTTGGTTAGGTTCCTCTAGTCTGGCCATCCAGTTTTGGCCTCTGTATCGTATTTTCAATGAAAAAAACAAGTCCATTGCTGAACTGTGGGATAGGCAAGACTTGAAATGCACTTTCAGAAGAAATGTTCGTGAAGATCTTTATCAGGTTTGGTTGGAGGTAGTAGCTTTAGTTTCAACCATTAATCTGACTGATGAAGAGGATGACATGGTTTGGCTTTATAACTCCTCTGGAGTTTACTCATCTCAGTCACTCTACAAAATCATTAATTTTAGGGGCATCAAAACTGCTCTTTGAAATTTCTTTTAATTTTAACATTTTTTGTAAACTAATTCTAAATCTAACGCTGTTTATTTTTTTTTTCTAAAACTAACACTTTTGGCCGAGCCTATTTCTCTGGCGCGACGAAACGTCTGTTCCGCGCTATGTATAGTAGCACGGCGAGAGGGATAATATAGCGACGACTAAGACACTGACCGATGACGTGGCAGAGTGTGCCCCGCCACAGCCCGCGCATGGCGCGGCAATCCGATTATCAATTCGCGCATGCTGCTTCCTCCAGTGACTGCCACCCGCTTGCAGTCTGGCGCGGTGAGGACGGTCAAGGCGGCTCGCGTCGCGTCCACATGAACCACCCTACCATGTACTGTAGCACAGCATAGCACGGGATCTGAAGACAAGACAGCTGCAGCTTGCCTCGTGTCCCACTCCACGGTGTGACGCAGCGAGGCCAGTTTGCATCGATCAGGCGGATAAGGTACATGCAAAAATCATCAGAGGCCCATACATGCGCATTCGTGGGACAGGATCAGTCTAGTCTGAGATTTGTTACCTGTTTTATTACTACCTCCATCCACAAAAAAAATGAAACTATAGCATCTATGCGACCATGCTCATCCAAGTAGTTCAAGTTGAATCAAATTTATAGCGAATAATATTTACATTTATATCCTCAAATTGGTTTATTTTAAAAGTATATTCGATAAATATAATCTAATGGTACTTTTGGTCAAATATTAGTAGTATTTTTCATAAAATTTTCATCAAATTTAAAAGAATTTTATTCCTCAAAAAGGTATAATTACATCCTTTTCTTGGAGGCGGAAGTAGTAGGAGTATTTCATATGGGTTACCCATTTAGCAAGATCCTACTCTAAACAAATAGTGTCAAGTCAAATTTAGAGATGCCTCGCAATTAACCGTTATATCACTTATATGTGTGTGAAACCATTTCTCAAAAAAAGAAAAGAAAAGAAAGAACTTGAAACCATTTGTTCAGGTTTCATAAAAAAGAGTCTAACGGTTCAGCTAGTGTTCAGGTTTTATCTGCGAGTAGTAACTTGAGAATAGGCGGTTAATATTTTTTTTCTATTTGCTGGTTAGCTCACTTTTTAAAACTTTGGTTGGTTTCACGGACTAAGCTTTAGCTCTCGTCACATAGGATGTTTTTGACACTAATTTAAAATATTAAATATATACTAATTACAAAACCAATTGCACAGATTAAATTAATTTGCGAGACGAATCTATTAAGCCTAATTAGCCCATGATTTGATAATGTGATGCAATAATAAACTTGTGCTAATGATGGATTAAGACGGCTTAATTGATTCGTCTCGCGAATTATTCACGTCTTCTCCAATTAGTTTTGTAATTAGCTCATATTTAGTTTTCCTAATTAGTATCCGAATATCGGACGTCACAAGTATTAAACTTTAGTCTCTAAATCCAAATACCCTCAAGTTGGGTACTCCCTCTATTAACAAAAATCTAGATTTCATAGGATTGTACATTAGTAGTAAGTTGTAGCTATTATGTTAACGCGCCCTAACGCATGGCAATCTGGCATTTTGGATAAGCCTAGAGTACTATTTTATGTACTAAGCCCTTGTTTAGTTGGGTAAATTTGGATTTTGGGGCTACTGTAGCACGTTCGTTTTTATTTGGCAAATAGTGTTCAAACATGGACTAATTAGGCTCAAAACGTTCGTCTCGCAATTTCTCACCAAACTGTGCAATTAGTTTTTCTTTTCGTCTACATTTAATGCTCCATGCACGAGCCGCAAACATTCGATGTGACAGGTACTGTAGCAAATTTTTAAAAGTTGAGGTGGAACTAAACAAGGGCTAATGTATGTACTACTAGTAGCTAACCTGACGCGCTTCTGTGTCCTATTGGAAGTGCTGAAGAGCAAGTCTAATAATTTAGACTTGCTAAAGACGGTAACACTATGCCATGTCATGTATAACTAGTTATATAGCCAACTCATATTATAAATTGGCTGCAACAGTGATCGCAAGCATTTATAATCTTACGTACTCTCTTCGTTCCTGACGTCTGCTGTTTTCGTTTTCCGAGAAACAACTTTGACTAAATATATATTAAAAATATTAATATTTATAATACATAATTAGTATCATTGGATAGATATTTGAATTTAGTTTTTTAATAAATTTATTTGGAGATAAAAATGTTGCATATATTTTTTATAAATCGAGTCAAAGTCATCGGCACGCGAATCGTGACGACTAACATTTAGGGACGGCATGCAAACTGGCCTCGCTGCGTCAGACCGTGGAGTGGGACACAAGGCAAGCTGCAGCTGTCATTGTGAAGAAAATCAGGGCTGCAGCCAAGATGACGTTCTGCTTGCCAGAAGCAGGTGTCTGAAGATCCCAAGAAGTGATATGAACAAGATGGAACCGGTTTCCTCTCAGAATAGAAGCCTGATGACTGAGATGGAAGTCATTGTCTGAATGCAGTTTCTCCTATTGTTGGCGGTCTATGTGTGTGCCGCTTTGCATTTGCTTTATCTCTAGAACTTTGTAGTCTCTAGCTTTTGCTGGTACTTTGGTTTCCTCCACCGGCTGGTGTGGGTTTTGGAACGGCTAAAAACTGTGCTGTAATTGACTCTGGGTCTTTTGGCTATATAGTTTTTTTTTTAGCAATTTCGGCTATATGGTTGGAAGGCCGGGGCGTTTTGGCCCTTGAACTCTAAAAAAAGATGCATTTTTTCTATAGCCATATAGGTAAAAAGCTCTTCTTTTTTACCCCTCTTCAGCTATTGGGCGATGGGCCATTAGCGCAGCTTGCAGCAGCAGTGCGCCACCGCTCTGCTCCCTCCTTGTGTCTCTGTCAACTCAGGCACGTGCATATGTCATGTGCCACCGTTTGCGCGCACGACAAGACGGTTGGGCAGCGCAAAAGTCCTGGGCCCTCATCGCTTTTGCTTCAGTCACACATCAGCCCTGTGCAATCTGTTGCCAACATCCAAATCCATGATATGCGAGCACCACTCACCAAGAAGCCACCAAGGACAGCCCAGCACACGGCTGCTTTGGCCCCTTTGGCTTCTTGGTTAATCAACGATGATGACCGAACTCAACGGACAGCTATATCTATTTAGGATGGCTCCGATCCTCTGCCATCCTTATCGGCGACGTAGGCCAAACTCCCAAAGTTGAGAACCTAGCCGGGGGCGAAGGCGCCGGTCGCGACAAAGATCTCGCCGGGGAGGCGGACGCCGCTTTTGGGGGCGACACCGCCTGCTCCAGCGACGAGGCGGGTGGCTCCAGCCACCGTAGAGCCGAAATCACACCTGACGCGCTCCCCTACCTAGCGCACCAGCTATCACGGGTTCGTGACCGCGACAAACATCGTTGTTCGTCAGATGTGAGAGGTGTGGGTCTCCGGTGGCTCGGGTACTCAAGAACACAAGAGACACATGACGATGTATCCTGGTTTGAGCTATCGAGGCTCTACGCCCAGCAGTGAGATGTTCTTCGTATTCAAGACCACCCAAATCGGGGGCTACAACGAAGGAGAAAGAGAATTTGGTAGGAGATCACTCGGTGCTATCCTACGGCTCGTTGGCGGTGAGGTTTCTTCCTCAGCAAGTAAGGAAGTCGGGTCTCTCTCTTTTTGGGTTGTCGAAGGAGGAACACTCTGCTGTTCCTCTCGATTTGCTCAAAGTTTTGTTCGCTCGAATGAACCCCCTCCTATGGGAATCGTCCTTCCCCTTATACCCTGAGGAAGGTCGGGTACAAGTAGGTTTGGGGGCTTTGGTCTACAGCCTTCATGGGCCG